ATCAGAGTTTATTAAGGTTTATGATAGTAAAGAATTGGGAGAGAAACTGAGATTGTTTAGACCAGAAGGAATGAAAGAAGAAGGTTGGTTTTCGTTGAAGGAGTTGAATCAGAGGCTTGTAAAACTAAGGGAAGTTGAAGAGGAAGAAGTGAAGAGAACAAGGAAAGAGGTTCATTTCGGTGGATTGAGGTCTGGCATTGAATTAGCTCGTGACATGGAGGAAGCTAAGAAATCAAGTACTCGTACGTTCCGAGTCTCTCTGTCTTTGTCTCTGTGTGTTTAGATATTGAGCTTTTGGTTAAAATCTCAAGCAACTCTCGTATGATCAAGTTTATTCATTTGTGAACAGAAAAGTGTTTGGTTTTTATGCTTGGAGCTTTGGGTTGTTGCTTGAGTTCTTGGTTTTGATTTGTTGTGATTGAATTGGAAGGGTGATTTGCTTGCAGTTCGTAAATTGGATATTTGGAGCGTTTTGGATGCCACTCCTCAGTATTTGCTCGAGCCTCCGAAAGAGGAGCTTGTTGATACTGTAAGTCTTGAATTCTTAAGCTTGTTAACCATTTGAGAATTCATGGCGTTGTCTTATGTTATGTATGTGTTGAAATTGAATGCAGTATTTCCACCCGGATAACCTGTCTTCTGCGGAGAAGATGAAAATCGAGCTTACAAAGGTCAGGGAAGAGTTCAAGATGTCGGAATCGGATTGTGGTTCTGCACGTGTTCAAGGTTATTAAAGACGAATTTACAGTATACGAGGCTAATTTAATCGGTTAACCATAGATCATTGCATTTTGTTACATTATTGTTTAGTGATCTCTATGGTCTTTCCTTGTAGTTGCGCAACTGACTACTAAGATCAAGCATCTATCCTCTGTTCTACATAAAAAGGTAAACTTTCAATCCTTTTTTTTTTTTTTTCTGAAGCTACTATCTTCGGGTTCTACATAATCTCATCTCGCATCTTATGACATAATGTAGGACAAGCATTCGCGAAAGGGACTTATAGCAATGGTGCAGAGACGGAAGAAACTGTTGAAGTATATGCGACGAACAGACTGGGATTCATACTGCATTTCACTGTCAAAACTCGGTCTTCGTGATAACCCAGATTACAAGTATTAAAACTTCTATAATGAAATGTAGTAATCTCAGTACACTCTCTTTTTGTTCTTTTCATTTTGGCAAAAGAGATAATGTGCGTCTCTTATCCATAATTTTAAGGAAGGAGTTGGTCATAAATTTAATTTTAGACAACGTATCTATCTGAAACATTAAAAGTAAACGTTTACAGTCTATTCATTTAATACTAGTAAAGAGATTCAAAGAATCGATAACCAATGGCTTTTACCATAATAGGATTCAGATTTCTCAAGAGAGAGTAATTGGTTTTTGAAAAGAGTGAACTGTTCCTTAAATCCGGTTCACATATAACCGGGCTAAAGCAATTGAAACGTCACTTGACGAGTTTTATTTATTTAACTTCATCTTCCTCTCCTAAGAAGAGTCTGTCACTCATGGCGCTTCATTTCCTTAGACACAAACACAGGTTCCACTTGAACTCATCTCTGATCCGTATTTTCTCGACCTCCTCATCAAACGTACCTTCTCAATCACCATTTTCGAACTTCTTCACCGAGAAGCCTCTTGTCGAGTCCCGTCGAAAGTCGAGAAATTCAGGCGATGTTTTTGACCTGTTCTTTACTCGTCGACAAGCTGTAAGATTTGTTTTCCGTTTTTTTTTGTTTTCAACTCTTGAAGCCTTTTAGCTTCTCAGAGCAATTAGATAAAAAAAGCCTGAGACTTATTGCATTATTATAGAAAGAAACACAAAGCAGAGTTGTTAACACAGAGCAGCCAAAGGAAGAAAAACTTAGGAGAGTTGGACGACCAAGGAAGCAAGTATTAGAGCAGAAGCCAGTGGACGAAACACGAAGCAGAGCTGCAAGCTTAAGCAGAACGCGAAGGAAAAAAGTAACGGCTTCGAGTAGCTCTTCACGAAATGCACTCAAGAATCATCCAGATTACATATGCAGTGTGACTCATGCAATGGATGTCTTAAATGGTTTGCCTAGATTAAAGAAGTGGACGCCTTTATACCAAGCTTCCATGGATCATCTTATGGCTGATGTAACTCACCGTCAAGCTTTCTTATCATTCTCTGATCCCGAGGATAGGATTCAGTACCTGCGGTACAAGACCAAGAAAACGGAATGAGAATAATCGATGGATTTAGACTCTTAGATGATGCTTGTTGCTTTTCAAGTGTTTTCACTTTTCACTCTGTTCTGAACTTGTTAAGACTTTTTGCTTTGATTTGCAATGTTGTGATGTTTAACTTCCATCATAGAAGAAACATCAACTCAAGTCAGCTTTTGGCTGGACAATCTTAAACGTGGAAAAGTGAAAAAATATGAACCCAACTCAATCCGAGTTCCTCACCTCAAATGAATCAGTCTAGTCAATGTTGTCACCATCTCTTCCATGCTATAGAAGACTCGGAAGAATCATGGCAGATTACACATCCATGACGCAGCAAGAAGTTCTGGAGTTTTCTAGTTAGAGGAACACCATGTGGCGGTATGATTCTCCTAAGAGATGGATTTGCACAAACCATCCAAGTGAAAATTCCAGCATCGACTTTACAGTGGTTAAGGTTTATCTCTCTTAAACGTATGCAGCTCTGCACAACTTTCTTCACCCCAATTGATCTCACATTCCAGCATCCTTGCAGATCAAGATACAACAACCCTTGACATCTTTTGCTGATCATATCTAGGGCTTCGTCATCGATCGCAGTTCCACCTACTCGCAAAGATTTTAACTTTGGGAGCTCAAAGTCTACTGCACAAAGACTCCCTATGGCAGTGCATCTGCTAATATCCAAAGATCTTAGCTCCCCACCATTCCTCAAAAATTTAAGAATCCCATCGCTTGTGATGCAAGGACATTGAGCCACTTCGAGAGTTTCTACAAAAGGGCAATGGCGGGATAGCTTCTCGAGGCACTCATCGTGCAAATTGTGGTTTCTAGATATGTACAAAGACTCGATCCCTGACTTGATATCCAGTTCCTTGGAATATTCTTCCACTCCAAAATTCGTACTTTCCATTCTGATGCACTTGAGGGAAACACATCCTTCAATGATGCTGAAAAATGCTAGACCAGTTAACTTGGAACAGTAACTGAGGTTCACAAAAGTTAAGCACCGAAGGAACATTCCCAATTCCATTACCATCTCATCAGAGAGGAAACTTGACCCTTCAAGATTCAAGTGAACCAGTGTTTGGTACTTATTAAGCAAATACAAGATCCCGTCATAAGTGAGACAACGGCAATTGGAGAGAACAAGCTTCTTTAGAGGAAACTTGGCATTGGCAATCAAATGGAGCAACTCATCGGACAGAAACGACTCCGAGAGATCAACCTCAGACAAACAACGAGCGAATAAGAAAGCATTGTCGGAGAAGGATTGGCTCGGTTCCCATCCGATTCTGTAGATCGCAAGAGACTCCAGAATCTGACAATTCCGCAGAACAAATTCGACGCAATGCGATGAAATGAAATCACAGTCACGGAAGATTACTTCTCTCAAGAGGACACAGTTCTGCGATATCGAAACCAAAGATTTATCTGTGACGAGATTATTACCAGAAATGTTAATCTTCAACAGTCCCTTGAGACTTGACGAAAGACTGATAATCCCAGAATCAGAGACGAGACTCGAACAAGACGACTTAGGATAGCTTATGTCAAGCTCCTGGAGAAACGGGAAACACATTCCGATCGAAACAAGATCGCTATCACTCAAACCACAAACTCTAGAACAGTTCAATTCCTTCACATGACTCAACATCTTCATTCCCAATATCTCAAAATCTGGAACATAAGACATTCCCGATACATCGATCGATTCGATATCCAAACCGGAAAGCGAAATCTGCAGTAGAATCGAATCGAAATTCTTACAGAGATCGAAAAACCTGATTCGTTTCAGCTTACGGAACCGAAGAAGATGCCGATGAAGAAAAGGAACAGTCCGATCGGTGATGACGAAAGTGGATCGAACACGATTGGTGATGGCGAGCAAAGAGGTCGATACGAGTGAAACTGATTCAAGGAATCGATAATCATCTTCATCGATGAATTTACAGATCAATTCCCAGATTTCTTCAGGTAGTTCCATGGATTCTCTCCAGATTTTGAAGATAAGCTCAAACAAAAACAGTAAAGTGAAGACTGTGAAGTTCTTGGACTCGCTATATTCTTAGTGATAAGCTTGGGCCTGTGTTGGCCCAATTACATAGAAGACTCGTAGTCTTTTTTTGTTATGGGCTTGATATTCTTGTAAGGCCCCAATTAGTCCATTTTTGTTTGAACTGTGTTTTGTCAACAACTATACAGTATACAGCTGTGTGAGTCAGTGACCACTTGTGTCGGTAATTAAAGTTGAAGAAGACAGACATAGAAAGTTCACATGAATAATGCTCAAACTTTTTGGAGCTTTCTTTCTCAAAATTTATTAGAAAAAATATTAATACTATATATCACTCTTCAACTACGACTTGTCCTTTTGTGTTCACTAAATCCGCATGAATTGAATTTACAACACTGTCCCAATCGAATCATTTGGATTAATGTGCCTCGATGCAAACAAAACCATAGAGATAAATTACATAATCCATTGTTTTTTTTTCTGCATATCACACACAATTATCTATCAAAATAAGTATCTAAATGAATACGAATTTAGCAACCAAAAAAAAAAATGAATACTTTATGGAGTCTTTGTCGTCAACAAAGAAAGTAGAAGAATATTACTTTATGTGTATTTATTTTGTTGTGTAAATGAAAAGTACATTGTTTATATATTACACTCTTTTTTTTTTTGCTAAATTTTTTATATATTACACCTTGATCTCTCGACAACCATTAACCACCCTTAACTACCTAACAACCTTGTGTTTAATTAATACGGTCCACCCAAAACATAAATAATCAATCCGTAATACATAATCACAAGGAACAAACTTTACTTAATGTAATATTTTTGGAAATTAATCTCAAAACTTAAGTATGACAACTTTATAAAATTATAAAGAACCGACACTTTCACATAAATAATCTTTTTTTGAGTCATCATAAAAATATTAATCTTTTTAGTTACGTGTAAAAGGTTTTACTTTTATAATACGACACTCAAAAGGAACAAAAAAATTGTTTCAATATTATAACACGGTAGCTTCATATAATTATAATCTTTGCATTGGGATGTTAAATATTGTAATTTAATCATAGC